CTCTCTCTCTCTCTCTCTCTCTCTCTCTCTCTCTCTCTCTCTCTCTCACTCTCTCTGCCTTCTCTCTCTCGGAGGCATGGACCTCTGCCAACTTTCTTCGCGGCCTTAAGCCGCAAGGAATTATTTCCGAGGATTATTTTCCCTTTCAGCGTTTCCCAGGGTCCTTCCAGGAATACGTTACGAACCAGCCTTACGTTCGCTCGTCGCTCGTTATTAACCCTTTGACCGCGACGGGCGTAGAAATGTTCATATCCGTTGCATCAATTTTCAAAAAGTATCAGCTTATAGGTGACGATCATACGAAACTTCGTTCTATTTACAGTTTATTCGTAGAACGCTTAGTTTCGAAAATAAAAATCGAAAAGTTTAGAAGTTCGTTGGGAAAATTGAATTTCAGGTCTCCTTGCAATTTTTCTCTCCGAAACTAAACGTCGTACGGATAAACATCGAATATAGAAAAGTATCGTTTCGTCGTTCTTCTATAACGTGGTATTTTTCTTTCGGAAGCCTAATCACCCACTATCAAAATTGGGAAACATACGAATTCCTTGTGCCCGAAACCAAACAAAGTAACAAATTGTTCCTCGATTCGTGTACCTCTAGAACATCAATCGACCAAGTTCCCGGCATCCTAAGTTCCTACAGACGTCCTCGATCGTTCCTCGATCGTTCCTCGATCATTCCTCTCGCCGATCTCGCAAGATCTCTAATGAAATCCACTCCACTCTCAACAGTATTATCAAGAGTGGCCGCGGTGGGCGAGCGTTGACGTTGGATTTCCCCGTTTTTCTTCCGATATTTTGTTTTCTCTTCTTCCTCGAACTCCCGGAGTCGCGTATCTCGAGCAAACGAAGCCAGTGGGCGAGTTTCCTGACAGTTCGATACGGCAAGGACGGCACGACGTTCGATCGTCCGGTTGAGATACCTTTTAAGGAGGGACAGCGAGGTCGTTTCGTTCGGAAACTCTCCTTTCTTTAGGCCCTACATTCGTTTCTCGGTATATAACGTCGCGTATCGAGCCGTTAATCGTTGCCTTCGCTATGGGAAAATGTGTGTCGCAACGCGGCGAGATACATAAAGCGATAGCTTCGTACGCGGCCAGATGTAAAAAGAGGCACGGCTGGCACGGAGAGAAAATCGTCGTCGTCGACTTTCCTTGAAAATTCCATCCGAGGATGAAGAAACGCGAGGCGAAGGAAACGAATAGCAGGCTCCGCGATGCGAAAGAACGTACAGGGTGTCCCAGGCACTTTCCGTGTAGTTTAAGCGGGTGCGGGGTTTTGGTTAGTCCCACCAAATTCCACACAACCTCGGCTTCTCCCTCGGGAACCCAAAGTATGCGTAATACATTTCCCCACAATAATAATAATAATAATAAAAAAAAAAAGAAAGGGTGTCCCAACCGTTGGTTCTTTTGCGACAGAAGAAAATGTCAGACAAAAATTCACACGGTGTGCTACGATAAGAAAATAGCTAAATTTTGTTATGGTTTTGAAGTTAGAACACAATCGCGGATTTAAACCATTCCTTTCTTTTTTTTTTTTTTTTGTGGCGCAGTAAAAAATTTGAAAATATTGAATTATCCCAATTATGTTCTTTTCCAGGACCACAAAAATTCCTCCCACCGTTGGTTTACCATGGTCGACTCGGACGATGCCTAGCCGCTCTGCAAACGATTCTCGGTGTCGCTGTGACGTCGCTGTCGTTATGGCTGCTGCTTTGGGCACCTCACTTGCCTGTCGCAGATAATCCCTACTGGAGCGGTATGCCGGTGAGTATTCCCAGTTTGTCATTGATCTTCCCAGAGAACCGGCTGATGCACTTACTTTGATCTGTTCGTTCGCAGTTGTTGCTGTCGGGATGCTTCGGGATTTGCTTGCTGTGCTGCTTCAAGAAGGAGTACCCTGGGATGAGTCCTGGGTTCTGTCTCTCGTCGACGAAGGTAATTCAGGTTGTCTGGCATCTTGCGAAAGAGTCTCAAGATTTCTTGCGAACGAACAAACAAATAAACGAGATCTCAGACTGGTCCACGAGGATATCCAGATGAAAATGGAAGGAAGAAATGAAAGAATGTTATTCAAGAAAGGAATTCGTTTTGAAAGAAATTTGTTCTACGTATTTCTTCTGTTTTAGTTGAAATTCTGTTCGTCTTAGGAGTACTTCCTTAGGAGTACTCCTTAGGAAAATTTCTACTGGGATTAAATTTTGTTTACAGACAATTGAAAGCTCTACAATCAAACATTTATTGTGCTGTTTCAAAAACTTCAATCACAATTTATGTACTTTGACATTTGACGTTTGGAAATAATTTTTGTAGTTCTTCAGTATAAAGCACTGTCACCCATATATGGGAGTAAATTATTCGTACCCTCTATGTCTATCGAAGAAATTTGTTTAAATTGAATGTCAGGTTTGATGTTTCCATGTATATACATATACTTATTCATATACATATTTACAACGAAAAATTCACTTGGTAATGTCAAAACTACTATTTAATTTAGTCAAGCTGCTTCGATAAAGAGTACGAATATTTATGGCATTATATACACAACCAACACCACACATCATATCTATACCTATAAAACACATTGCATTATTTTATTTCATTAGTGTCTGTAACCCTTCGAACAGTTGCTCAGCTTGTTCCTGGCGACCCTGGCGACGGTGACCTGCTCCATCGCCTGTGTGTTCTCAGCGATGCACCTGTTGCGTCTAATGCAACTGGAATGCAACGCTGCCCGCTTAGAGAGCGAGACCTGCGTGTGCAGACCGCCTACGGTCCCGTCGAATTCCACCGAATCGGCGGTGAGGTACGTAGACCTGAACTGTCCCGAGGTCGAGAGCATCTTGACCATGCTTCTCATCTTCTCCTGCACCTGCAACGCCGTGGGAGCTTTCCTAGCCGGCTGGTACACGTACCTCCACTGGAGCACCAGGAACAAGAGGCCCAAGTACATGCAAGTCAGAACCGGCCCCAACGCAGGGAACAACTTCCTCGGCGGCCGACCTATATACAATCCAAATCTGAACGAACGATGACAATTTTCCCAAGAAACGAACGAGGACACCTCGTATCTTAGGTACTCTTCCCTAACGATGGACGATGGAGTGCTTTAACTCGAGCAACGAACGACCATGGCATCTCAACGACGACCGTTGCAGTGCTCCTTAGACGATAGATTACGAAAACGACAATGAGGAATTACGAATGCGACAAGTCTCTAGTTGCGACGATGAACGACACGATGTAATTTCTTGGACTGTTCAATGGAAATAAAGTGGCGGGGGAGCGCGTAGACAAGGCCTCCATTTGAGCCGTAAATCTCCATCGAGGTTGTAACATGCTTCAGGATTCCCATGGTGACCTAAAGATTCATCCAACTTTCCCGGACTACTTGCAGAAAATAAACTAACGAAGCAACTAATGAACTAGCGAACTAGTCCACGATCTGAGAGTGAAACTACGAATGACCCCCTTTAGCGAAAGGATCATTCGCGAACTTTGGATTAGAACGATCCAATCCATTAGAAAATGTTCGATTACGAAGAACGATTGCGAAGTTGTGGATCAAAGCGAGACCAAAAAACGTCTGTTAACCCCAAATAGTGTTCGATTAACATAAGTACTTTAATTTTTACTAATGGTCTACGTTAATCGACGCGATGTGTTCTTAATATTTATTGTATCGTAAACGATGTCTACCGTATTGTTAATTAGAACTACTCTGCATTTAACGACACGTGAATGCACTTTGATTTATGGTAGTTGCGCAAGCTCGTTGCCAACGCGGAGAAAGGATTGGAGAATTAAGTGCGGACGCGGTTACATATCACTGAATTGTATAGGGTAAGAAGGAGGCGTATCTCCTCTTTTTATCGTCGAGAATTATTTATATTAAATAAATTCGTAGGAAGTGTAACGTATAGAATTCAGGGAAATTTGAAATTCCGGAAAATTCTTCGTGCGTGTAGTGTATGTACAAGGAAACGTTCGTGGCTTCGAGTGTTGATAATAATTTAACAGATAACGGGTCAACCCACGTGTGGTCGATTTCCACGTGGATCGTCAGTATTTTAGGTGTAATTTGTAAGCGAACGTCTCGTGAATGTGTGATTGTACGTGCTCATATACAGTGAGTCACAGAAGTATAACCGCCGTCGACCTCCCATTGTTGGTATCTTTCTCTTGAAGGAATCTCGCCCATAAAATATTAATATTATATATTAATTAAGCTATCGAGCTTAACAATTTCTCCAACGCCTCTGGAACTCACTGTATCCTTGCAGAGATGAACTTTAACGACGAGTGAAAGCTTTTTAACTTAAACACGTCTTCGATTTTATACCTCATCGCGAGTACCGCGTAAGAAGCTAGCTTTTAAGATTTTTAAATCAATAAAGTGTACCGTAGCGATATGAGAAACATTTTACCAGAAGCGATGTAAGGAAGGAAATAAAAAAAAAAAAAAACAAAAGTTACAGTATTAGAAATGAAAGCAACACGGGTAGGTTATTTCGAACATTTTTATTTAATTTGACTGGAATCGCGACTTTCCGTAGAAATTGAGCGGCGACGACCGTCTGGCTTCCGCTCTGCCTCGTTTATTCGAATCTCTGGTATCACTGCGCAGTCGCTGGACTGCGACTCCCACGAATCACGGAGGACCTTCGTCATCCTGATCACGAACTTTGTATAAATAAAATGTAGAATAAAAAAATACCCAGCAGAACGCTGCAAAATACAGCGTAATATCGACTGTACGATACAGCATATAACATGGTGCTATGAGATGGTGCTATAGCATGATGCAGCATGATACAGTACAATATAGAATATTCCGGCACAATAAGTGATTAATACCGTGATTAAGAATCGTGAATTTCAACAACTATACAATTTGGAGTCATCACCTAGTACGTCCATTAATTGGTCCTCTGGAGCTACTTTCGGGAATGTATGGACTCGGTGTTCGGTCAGGCGGAAACGGGTTCTCGTCCACATCCGTCAACTCGACGGCTTCAATTTCCGCTTCACCTTAAAAAACAACCATCCTTGTGACGAAACATTCGACAATTCGAAACATATAATTCACGTTCAGGAACCTTTGGAGAGTCTAGGCTTCGTGGATTTTTTTGATAACGCGGGTAACATCTTTTTCCATTTGTAAAACGACGAGTCGATCAGTTCTTCCCTTCTCTTGACTATTCTGAACAGCTTGCGACGCTCTTCGGTACGCTCGTGGCGCAATTGTATCTGAAAGAAGACAGAAACAGGCATCGCGTGTCAGGGACGTGGCTGATCTACTCCAATAAGTTAATGGATCGGATGTCATTCAGAATTTATTTAAAATTCGTTCAGAAACGAATATCGTTCATCTTGTTACCTTCAAGTCGTTGTTGGCCTCTCTCAAAGAGCTGGTAAGAGACACCATGTAGTAAATGATTAGAGTCATCAGGACGATCAGAGGGATCACGATACCCGGTGAAGCAATGTAATCAAGACATCTGAAAGGATTCGATTACATTAAACACTCCAAGCTGAGATACTTTTAAATAGTAATTGACTCGTGATACCTTTGAATCGGTTCCGGAAGGGAGTCCGTGAGCTGTTTTGTAGCCAGGTGGTAGATTTTCTTGTAACCCGAAAACGGACCGCAATGCCAAGATGGCTCCACCCAAACGATCGCGTAGCCGACAGGCAACACGCACAAGAAGAGCATCGTTAACAAGAGGGCAAAGTAAAAATTATTGGATCTGCAAAAAAAGCGACATTCCATTACGAACGATACATACGAATTCGAATGAAATACTTGAATTTCGATGAACTTACAAGAATAAATAAATACGATAAATCGTAATAATAATAATTTGAAGACGAGTTACCTGGAGGCTCGAAAAATCACCTCGTGTGGGACGTTGCAAGTGAGAACCGCCCAAGATCTCAGGTACATGAGAATACCAAGCTTGAGGAGGTTCAACGCAGTCAAGCCAGGACTGAAGAACATCCCCATCCAAATCATCCCTTGATTGTTGACCAGATGGAGTATGTTCTCCGCGATTTTGAAGTCTCCGTACTGAGGAAATTGCTTCTCCAAGTCCCAGCACCAGCAATTATTCATGTAACGAACGAACACTGCCCTGAAGAAGTCTATGCTGAGCGTGGATACTATAGTGAGAACCTGAAATTCAGCACGAATTCAGCATTACGTGGACGCGATAGATTCTCCATGGGAATAATTATTGCATTTATCATCTACCACATCCATGACCGTTAGCTTGGCGAGCTCCTGGCCAAACATCGTCTCCCAGCACAGGCGACGAAGCTTCTTCCTACTCTTCAGGTTCAATGTCTTCGACGAAGCAGCTGAAAGATTTAATAGACACCGTTTATGATCGATACGTAGTATTTGGTAATGGTACAGTGCGTAGCGTAGCTGGCTACCACGCCGATATCCCGGGTTCGAATCCCGGCCGGCCCACCTCAGTTTTTCTTCAAGATATAGCTAATGAAAAGCATCGAAAGTCTGTGGCTTACATTTAAGAAGTAATACAAAAATTAAGATAACAAAAACAAAGTTTTATGTTAGAAGGGAATATATATATACTACACAAGAAGTGGAATACGGGCGAAAGTGTCCATGGCGCACTATATAATAAAATAAACAACCAAACCATGAAGTACCAAACTGTGAAAGTCTCGGATATCTTAAATCAAGCTTTGTCCATACTTGGATCTTCAGTCGTCGTCGTGCAGACTTTCTCGAAGCACTTCATCACAACTTCATCTTCCTTCACCAGGGAAGTTAATCCTTCGTTCAACGATGCCGAAGAACTGTCAACGGTAGCTGATTCATCCGTCGTTTCTTCCATAGTAATCGTTGGATGCTCGTCAAACTCTTCAGCTACTATCGAAGACGACGAAGCGTCCAGGACGTCGTCCATGGACGAAGTACTTAAATGATCTTCCTCGGTGGTGCTCGTATTATTTGTACCACTTCCTGTCGACTCAATTATTTCACCATAAGCTGTACTTTCGTTCAAATCCACGCTGGATAACGAAGCGTCGCTATTCTCTTCGCTTAATCCAGTGTAAGAAATCTGTGTGAAATTATCATCGACAGTAGCAGTAGTCGTCGTATCGAGTGTACTGTTCCATTCGAGCAATTCCAACGTGGAGTTATCTTGGTGTACGTTTTCTGTCGAGAACGACGCGGTTTCGTTGGCTTTCGTTTCATCCCCGTCGTAATTCTCGTACACGTAATCAGGGGATGCATAGTCGCCCACGTTGTATATCTCTTCTAGAGACTTGTCGTCCATTATTGGATTCAAGAAGAAGTTCTTTGGCATTAACGAGCTCGGTGGCAGTGCAGGGTCAACGGGTACTTGGAGATCTGAGAGAAATGTTTTTAAACGAGGTGAGCAAAATTTGCTTAGCGCAATCTTTTTCTGTAATTAAATTCGTAGAAATTATAGAAAGAAATTCTATATCTACGCGATTGTACTTTTAACTCGTAATACATAGAATTCAGAATTTTAATTACGGAAACAAAATGATACATCTAATTTTTATTCGGTGTGCGTATACATATACTCGAACCTGTTTCATTTCTGTATTGCAGATCGGTAACATTGCTCGCCAGAATAAGACTCAGAGACGCCAGAGCGACCAACTGTCTCGACTTCTTCATATCTCCGGTGCACTCGATGGGCTCGTGCGAGCAAATCTCCATCTTCGGTTGCAGGACGCGTAAATCTTGCTTCTACGATGCAAGTATTTAAGAACGAGCACCTCGAGTAGGTAAACAAACGTATTTAACCGTATCGTCTCACCTACCATCGAATTTATTTTGCCGAACAATGCGAATATCAAGGAGTAGAGGTTCAATAAATTCAGAACCATTATTCTGCAACGGAATCGAATCGAATTTTGGAAAATTAAAAGCAAGAGAACGATGGGCGAGCAGACTCACCGCGCAAGCTGCACGCGAAGTTGCTTCCTGGGATGGTAGCTCTCCAGCAGGCCTAGTATCTCGAAGAATATGGGGAAGAAGTAAGTAATCAGGGACATCACTACCGTGATTTCGTTCTGCCTCCACCAATTGTTCTGTTCTAGTTCCTCGGCGCTACGAGCTACCACCTTTATCACAGCGTACGCAGACAACGTCAACAGCGACATCACGGAGGTGTTCACGAAGATCCTCATCGATATGATCTTCCAGCTGAAGGAATGCAGTCGAACATGTGCATACGTGACATACGTGAAGAGTTGCAACGAATTACATTTGGATATTTCACTATCAGAACACGAATATATAAAACTAAGTAAGTTCGATATTTGCACATTTACTGGAAATCTTAATTAACGTTCCGGTCGTTGGTTGAAGTATACATATCAATCTTACTTCCTTTCGTCTTTTTCTTTCTCAGCCTCCTCGAGCAGATTCTCCTTGAATCCAAGAACGATGCTGGCCATCCTGTTGTGAGCAGTTTCGGTGTTGCCGATCATGAAGTCCCACCCTGTGAACAACTTCCAAGAAAACACGCACTCGTCCTCCTTTTCAGTGAGCTTGCTCAGCCTAGAATTCTCCGCCATTCTGAAAATGTCGCAAAATATTGTAAGAATCATTCGTAGACATTCGTTGTACCGATACAAGGAGATCGCAAGACTTTTCGGGGCAACGATTTCATTGAAACTTTGTCATCCTGTTTAGGAAAGTATAGTATTATAGCGCCGGACACTCGATACTTATTTAGGTACTTATGATCAAAGTTTCTTCATTTTATAAATTGCACTATCGTAGTTTTCTTCATCTTAAATTGTATTATTTTAGTGTATCATGAGTTTCTTCTTTTTAAATAGCAATATTCTTCATTTGAAAGTGCAGTATTTCAATATGTCGCAATTTTCTTCTTCTTAAATTGTATTATTTTAACGTATCATAAGTTTCTTCGTTTTAAATTGCAATATGACGGTTTCTTTCTCAATTATAAAATTCAATCACTTTCAAGTTTCAAAGAAACCAATGACTCGAAGGTCTTGCGTTCTCCTCATCAGTGTCAGAGCCATCTAACCCTGACGATGCCGCGATTAAGTCACGAATACTACAGGGAATGATACCCTTGACTCTAAAATCATAAGTCTTTGGCCATTATTTACTTGCGCAGTATAGCGACGAAGCTGTAGATGTAAAGCACCAAATTGGTAACAAAGTAGGCCAAAGGCAATCTGTAGCCGCTCTGAGAATCTTGATTGGTGTACCAGCCATAGAAGAACGGGGAGTACTTGAGGACCCCTTCGAATTCCCACAGGGTAAGCAGATGCTTGGATTTGATTTTCTCTTCTCTGAGCATGATCTTTCGCTCCCCGGCTGCAGCTGGGTCTGCTGTGAGCACCTGTCGTCGCAAAGAGGTAAGATGCATCTTTATACAAGCGATACGAGCATTGTCCAGTTGTATACTGTCCAGTCTA